AACCATCTAAAAATTACAACCTCTAATTCCCTTTTTGCCTAATGGTATGTACATCCAATGCAAGATATCAGGGTTATCCCATAGTTAACTCTTCTCTCTTAACCATTCCGCCAGTATTGTGCATTCACCTGACTTGACCCAGCTTCAAGGGGTCACTTGTACACCCTGCATGAATTAACTTCATTGATGTTGTCTGCTCCCATTGTAGCTAATGGCACTGACTCAGCCTTCCATGTGCTTGCTGCTAAGCCAGCCCATACTGCTCTAGCACCTGTAGCAATGCCTGTGCGTGAAACCAACCCTTGGGCCCATGCCCCTGATGCTGCTAACAAGGAAATTGCAGCCACATGTTCGGGTAAGGTGGCCACAGATGGTGTTGAGGATTCTGGGATCAGATAAGTGACCCTGGTTCTAAAAATCAGCCATTTAGCTGAGTGTGAACTAAGGAGGAATCCTTTCAGAAAAAGTATATTCCCTCCTGGAAATAAGCTCCTTATATAAGAAAGGATGGTGAAGGAGAACAAAAGAGATCAGACTGATAGTCATTAGGACTTTGGAACCGAACCACTTATACAGCTTTTATAAAATACAGATTCGAGGACTCCACCTCAGAAAATCCATCACCAAATTTGGTGATGTGCAGACATGCCTGTAGAAAGAGGGGTCCCTGACTGGATGCAGTGGCTCACAACTTTGGGAGGCTGAGGCAGGCAGAACACGAGGTCAGGAGTTTTGAGACCAGCATGGCCAACACAGTGAAAGTCCGTCTCTACTAAGAATACAAAAATTAGCTGGATGTGGTGGCGGGTGCCTGTAATCCCTGCTACTCAGGAGGCTGAGACAGAAGAATTGCTTGAACCCAGGAGGTGGAGGTTGCAGTAAGCCAAGATCACATCACTGCACTCCAGCCCGGGTGATGAGATAGACTCCACCTCAAAAAAAAAAAAAAAAAAAAAAAAAAAGTAGGGGCCTTGGCTGCTACAACAGGAGGCCTACAAAAAGTGCTACAAAAAGCACTTTACTTTTGCTTTTTTGTACTTTGTAGTTTTTCTATAATGAACATCTGTTAATTATAAAACCAAAAAGTTTTTTTGTGTGTGGTTTTTGTGTGCAGTTCACCAGAAAGACAACCTATTTCTGGAAGCCAAGCAGGGGCCAGCAAGATACAGCCAGGTCACTGGTTATTTTCTTTTTGCTCTGTTAGAGCAGAAGATGAATTGCCTTGGACCCTTTAGAGGATGTGCAAGCTAGTTGTTTTTTGTTTTTGTTTTTGTTTTTGTTTCTGAGACAGAGTCTTGCTCTGTCACCAGGCTGGAGTGCAGTGGCATGATCTCAGCCCACTTCAACCTCCGTGTCCCAGGTTCAAGCAATTCTCCTGCCTCAGCCTCCCAAGTAGCTGGGACTACAGGCACCCGCCACCACACCTAGCTAATTTTTGTATTTTTAGTAGAAACAGGTTTTACCATGTTGGCCAGGATTATCTTGACCTCGTGATCTGCACGCCTTGGCCTCCCAAAGTGCTGGGATTACAGGTCTGAGCCACCGTGCCTGGCCCTTTCTTTTCTTTTTTTAAACAGAGTTCTCACTGTGTTCCCCAGGCCAGAGAGCAGTGGCACAGTCATAGGTCACCGCAGTCTTGAACTCTTGGGCTCAAGCAGTCCTTCTGCCTCGGCCTCACAAGTAGCTGGGATTACATGTGGGAGCCACCACAACCAGCTAGTTTCTGTATTGTGGATGAGCCATAGCAACAGGGAGGGATTTCTGACATAAGTCAGCTGCCTTGGTTTAATGTATTTGAGCTATATCTAGACAGTGCTTCAGTCTGGCTGACACAGCATCATGGTCTGACAGGTTTTCTTCATCCTACCACGAAATCTTAGTTGGTAATAGAGTTTTTCCTCCTACCTACCAAACCACAAAATGTCCCACTGGGGACATGTTGCACATGTAAGGATCATTCAAATAACCAAGATTATAAGGTAAAGAAAGTCACCCCTAACTGATTATTTTATCTCTCATCTTGTTGGTTCCAGGGACTGAGTGGGGTCAATCTTCTGGTGCTGCCTCTCCAGGTCTCTTCCAGGCCGGTCATAGACGTACTCCCTCTGAGGCCGACCGATGGTTAGAAGAGGTGTCTAAGAGCGTCCGGGCTCAGCAGCCCCAGGCCTCAGCTGCTCCTCTGCAGCCAGTTCTCCAGCCTCCTCCACCCACTGCCATCTCCCAGCCAGCACCGCCTTTCCAAGGGAATGCATTCCTCACCTCTCAACCTGTGCAAGTGGGTGTGGTCCCAGCCCTGCAGCCAGCCTTTGTCCCTGCCCAGTCCTATCCTGTGGTCAATGGAATGCCCTATCCAGCCCCTAATGTGCCTGTGGTGGGTATCACTCCCTCCCAGATGGTAGCCAACGTATTTGGCACTGCAAGTCATCCTCAGGCTGCCCACCCCCATCAGTCACCCAGTCTGGTCAAGCAGCAGACATTCCCTCACTATGAGGCAAGCAGTGCTACCACCAGTCCCTTCTTTAAGCCTCCTGCTCAGCACCTCAATGGTTCTGCAGCTTTCAATGGTGTAGACGATGGCAGGTTGGCCTCAGGAGACAAGCATCCAGAGGTTTCTATAAGCACCTGCCCAGTGGATCCTTTTGAAGCCCAGTGGGCTGCATTAGAAAACAAGTCCAAGCAGCGTACTAATCCCTCCCCTACCAACCCTTTCTCCAGTGACTTACAGAAAACATTTGAAATTGAACTTTAAGCAATCCCTAGGGCTTTGTATCTTGTCCATACATACAGGGAGCAGTGGGTGGAGGTCAAAGGAGCAAAACACACTTTGTCTCCTGATTATCACTCTTTTCACTAATCCCAAAGGTCCCTAGGAACAAGTCTAGGCCCACAGTACTGTGAGGTGTGATTTTGAAAGACGTGGAAAAAACCATTCCTAGAGAGAAGCTGCCTTGCAGTTAGGCTAAAGAAGTCAAGGAAATGTTGCTGTCTGTACGCCCTCTTCCCTCACCCCTTACAAATCTCTAGCAACAGAGAGGCAAAAGTATCTGAATAAGAATCTATATTCGAAGCACATTTACTGAAGTATAAAACCCAACAGGAAGCAAAGCAATCTCCCTTTTTCAGGCCATTCACCTGCCTCCTGTCAGTAATGGCCTGTATTAGAGATCAAGAACAGAGTGGTCTGTGCTCAGGCTAGGGAAGAGATAGGCAGGCTATGCTGCCAGAATTCCCAGGAAGACATATCAGCAACTGCCCAGCAGAGCTATATTATTTTGGGGGAGTAGTTGAGCTTCCATTTTGAGTAACAGAATAAATATTATAAATATATATCAAAAGCCAAAATCTTTATTTTTATGCATTTAGAATATTTTAAATAGTTCTCAGATATTAAAAAGTTGTATGAGTTGTAAGTAATCTTGCCAAAGGTAAAGGGGTTAGTTGTAAGAAATTGTACATAAGATTGATTTATCATTGATGCCTACTGAAGTAAAAAGAGGAAAGGCTGGAAGCTGCAGAGAGGATTCCTAGCTTGTTTGCTGTCATTCATTGTAAGTAGCACATTGCAACAACAATCATGCTTATGACCAATACAGTCACTAGGTTGTAGTTTTTTAAAATAAAGGAAAAGCAGTATTGTCCTGGTTTTAAACCTATGATGGAATTCTAATGTCATTATTTTAATGGAATCAATCTAAATATGCTCTATAGAGAATATATATCTTTATATTGCTGCAATTTCCTTACGTTAATCCTTTATTTTAACACTAAGGTAACAGTGAAATAATCACACCATAGAAGGGAACACAGGTTACCATATTGGTTTGTAATGTGAGTTTTGTTTTATCCTTTAAATTTTGTTCCCATGAGTTTTGTGGGGATGGGGATTCTGGTTTTATTAGCTTTGTGTATGTCCTCTTCCCCCAAACCCCATTTCGGTGAGAACATCCCTTGGACAGTTGCAGCCACTTGACCTCAGATAACAATAAGAGATCTCATCTCATTTTTACTTTTGAACGTTGGCCTTACAATCAAATGTAAGTTATATATATATTTGTACTGATGAGAATTTATAATCTGCTTTAACAAAAATAAATGTTCGTGGTAGAAGCTTTTGCCCATCATGGGCTGTTCTTTCCCCTTTATTAGTAAATGAATTTACTTTTAGTTCTTTTGGTCTTACTCTGTCTCTATTCTGCTGCTGCAAATCCCTAATTTAGTGACTAGAAAAATACCCTTAAGATTCATATTTTCATTCATACTTTAAGCTTAAGTTAATCCTGAGTGTTTCTCTAAAGTCAGATTCTTGCTGCTCAAAGTGTGGTCTGGAACAAAGGCATGGACTTCACCTAGGAGCTGGTTAGAAATTCAGAATCTCAACCCCACCCCAAGACTGGAGCAGTGCTTCTCAACCTGGGCTATGCAGTAGAATCACTTGGGGATATTTTTTAAAATCTTAATGTCTGGCCTGTATTCCAGATCAAATAATTCAAAATTTTAGTGGGGCAGGGGGACCACCCCCTCAAGTTGTGTTGTGTTTTTTTTTTTTAATTGAGACGGAGTCTTGCTCTGTCACCAGGCTGGAGTGCAGAGGCTCAATCTCAGCTCGCTGCAACCTCCGCCTCCTGGGTTCAAGCAATTCTTCCACCTCAGCCTCCCAAGTACCTGGGACCACAGGTACATGCCACCACGCCTGGCTAATTTTTTTTTTTTGAGATGGAGTTTCGCTCTTGTTACCCAGGCTGGAGTGCAATGGCGCGATCTCGGCTCACCACAACCTCCGCCTCCTGGGTTCAGGCAATTCTTCTGCCTCAGCCTCCTGAGTAGCTGGGATTACAGGCACGCGCCACCATGCCCAGCTAATTTTTTGTATTTTCAGTAGAAACGGGGTTTCACCATGTTGACCAGGATGGTCTCAATCTCTCGACCCACCTGCCTCGGCATCCCAAAGTGCTGGGATTACAGGCTTGAGCCACCGCGCCCGGCCTGGCTAATTTTTTTTTTTTTTAGTAGAGACGGGGTTTCAGTGTTTTTTTTAAACTCACAGTGTGGTAAAAAGTTGTGACCCACTGGCCTAGAATGAGTTATACCTCTAATCTTAGCCCACTATTTTGTGACTGATTCTGTTATTAGAGCTAGTTAGCTGCTAGTTAACCTCAAACTTACCTTGTGATGTGTTTATACCAATAGGCCAAATTCTGATTTAATTAAACTGGGAACTCCAAGAAAGTGGCCTTTATTTTCCAATTTCTATGGCAAAATCAGCCATGGTAAGTGAACGTGGATGCTCTTCAGTATTTTTCCACTATTAGCTTAAAAAAGACCTCTGCCCCAGCCTACGTTTCCTTTTGTTGAATGAATAGCAGACTGAGAAGCATCACTCACCCATGATGTGGTTTGTCCCTTTTCCATCCAGTGTGTTGGTAATAAAAGTCACCTTTCAGAGCTTTGGTCCCTATAATGCCTGTCTTTCCTGTGTCCAGGAATAACCTTTGCTACTAGGCAGTCCTCTGGAAGATTTGTAGAAGGTTAAAGTGGAAAGGGACTTGGAAGCTCATAGAATTCATGCCTCTTGTTTTAGCAAAAAGAATTAGAGGTTCTGAGAGATGAAGAATGTCTTCCAACTCGAGCCATTTCTGAAACCATTTCCCTGTTACTACATTGCCCACAACCCTTCCCCATTGGTATCTCCATCCTGCTAATGCTGTTTTTAATAACAGTCTGATTTTTCTCTGGCAGCAAGAATTTTTCTTCAGATTCCTACTTAAGGAAGAGAGGGGCTCTTCATGGTCACTGTACAGAGCAGGCTGGTCAGCTTTATACAGGTGTCGGATGAACCTTCACAGCCAGCTTTGCGTCCTTCAAGGTCCAACATTCTCGATGATGTAAGGAGCTTTTCCAGTTCTTTCATGCTCTGGTAGCAGTGCTACCTGCAGCTGTTTCATCCCAAATCGCTATTTGAGGTCTTACATCTATTCCATTTTGCCAACAAGGGTTATGCTGTTAACCTTCTGCACTGGATTTAGAGCTGATTGCAGCACTGCCTAGAAGGGTGAAAGAGACTAGAACAATGAACTATGGTTGGTTCTAGCACAGAATACTTTCCTGATACAGCAGGAGTTGGCATTGCCCTTATAAAATGGGTGTTAACTTTGAAATCATTACACATGTCCCTGCCCAGCTTTAAATCAAGTGGAGCCCTGATAGCTAGTTTTAAAACACCATTGATGGGCCAGGCATGGGAGCTCATGCCTGTAATCCCAGCATTTTGGGAGGCCAAGGCAGGCGGATCACCTGAGGTCAGGAGTTTGTGACCAGCCTGACCAACATGGAGAATCCCCATGTCTACTAAAAATACAAAATTAGCCATGTGTGGTGGCGCATGCCTGTAGTCCCAGCTACGCAGGAGGCTGAGGCAGGAGAATCACTTGAACCTGGGAGGCAGAGGTTGCAGTGAGCCGAGATTGCGCCATTGTACTCCAGCCTGGGCAACAGGAGCAAAACTCAGTCTCGGGGAAAAAAACACATTCATGGCTGAACCGAACGTGGTGGCTCACACCTATAATCCCAGCGCTTTGGGAGGCCAAGGCGGGCAGATCACCTGAAGTCAGGAGCTTGAGACCAGCCTGGCCAACATGGTGAAACCCCAACTCTACTAAAAATATAAAATTAGCCAGGTGTGCTGGTGGGGCATCTGTAATCCCACCTACTTGAGAAGCTGACACAGGAGAATCACCTGACCCTGGCAGGCAGACGTTAACAGTGAGGCAAGATGACACCATTGCACTCCAGCCTGGGCAGCAAGAGTGAAACTCTGTCTCAAAAAAAAAAAAAAAAAAAAAAATGCATTAGACTAGTCCTATCTAACAGAAATTATAAAGGAAACCTGTAAAAAGTAAAGGTTGTTCTTAATCAAACAGATTGCTTTTCTAGACAACAGCAGCCTATGTTGATGTCAGAGATGCAAACACTGCTGAAAGCTACAGAGGGAAGCTGGCACTTGCTGCTGTTCAGGCTAAACACTGGGTAGGTTTTTGAAAGGGCTAATGTATTCCAGATGATAAGTCTTGTTTGCCAGCCAGAGAGGAAGCCAAGAGTCCATCTTCCTTTCTCCCCAGCCCTGTGAACTATTTTGGATTGGGGCTGGAGCTGGCCTTCATCCCTACTGCCAGATGGGCTGAGCGTGAGGCTGGAAACGGGAACAGCTGGCACAGCAGAAGCTGGAGTAATACTCATTGCCACAGAGCTGGGCCTGCAGGATCAAATCACAGTTGGCCAGCTCTGGCTGGTCGATGCATTCCCTCCCAGGGTCCCTGGGCTGGGCAGTGGGTGCTGCAGAACAATAGGGGAGAGAGAAGGTGGTAAGGAAGCTCTGTGTATGCTGAAAATTCTCACCTGCCATTTCATTTCATTCAAAGGAACACGGCATTGTAACTGCCAGATTCAAAACGAAGTGCACTTACCCTGTAACATTTTAACAACCATTATGTACAAACCCTGTGAGAGATGATGATTTCTACCTGTTTGTTGGCCTCACTTCAACATGCAGTGGTCCTCCCATTATTATTTGTGGCCTCAGCCCAGTGAATAGCTCTTCCCAGACTCCCAAATATTTATTGACTGGATGATTAAACATCTCTTGATGTTAACTCTTTACTTTTGAGACCTGAATTGCTAAATGACAACTGCTTTGGCCTCTGGATTGAAGAGCAGGTAGGATCAACTGTAAGTAAAATTTTGAGTTAGCAAGAGCTGTGTTATCTTTCCCATTTCTCTGCTGGGTTCCCCTAACCATCAAAGTTTTGTCCCTTCAATATGACCAGCTTATCGTAGTCACCTCGGTCCTCATCCTTCCAGTTTTTCACTTTCCCCAGAGGAAGCAATGCATATTAGACAAGGTAATAGGAAAACAGTCTTGTTAACGGAGACTCTAATATACTGAAAACAAAGACCTTGTGTTCTCTCCCTCTGAATTTACTAGGAACATCTGTATCTTGTAACTCCCTATTAAGAGTTTCATTCTACTGCTTCACTTCTCTTTCTGGAAGGGGTTCTTACAACCCAGCTGACTTAGGCCAGAGCAGTACCTTCCCTGAAGTCAGACCTCAGGGAGCCAGAGAAAACTTTTCTCTTCGCTCCTCTTGTTTCCTCAGAAAATACCAGTAAAAGACTGTACCTAGCAGCAAACAGCCTAACAAAGGTTTGGTATATTGGTATAACCAGAATACTAACTAAATTTACATAGCTAGCAAAACTATTAATGCATTTTGTTTCTAAAAATCTAACTTTGGTATCGACTCTGAGCTGGTATAGCCCTGAGACCTATCATAGTGGGAACTCCGCATCGTGATTAGGCACACCAGCTCTGGACCTAGACTGCCTGGGCTCAATCCAGGCTCTGCCACCTGCCAGCTGGATAACTCTGGGCAAATTGCTGAAGCACTTCATGCATATTTCTTCATCTGTGAAATGGGATTAATGGCACCTACTTCACAGGGATGTGGAGAAGTCCTCCCAGCAGAGCTATGTCCCTTATACCTCAGCCTGACTAGTCCAACACCTCCTACCCTGGTGCCAACACTGAAGCTCCAGTGTGCCACCCAACCATGAGTAGGGTGGGGTGGGGCAGCCTCATGCTGTGTGACCCAACAAAAAAAATAAACAGGTGAGAGCAGCCAGCAGAGGACCTGAGAAGGGTGGCCAGTCTGAAGCTGTCTGTCCCATCTGGGACACACATCTCATCAGGCCATTTCAGCTTGATAACCAGGTATCAGGCAAGTTTCTCATAATTTGGTTTCCCATAAAATGAATCCCATCTGTAGTTAATCACAAATACAATGTATATGACCTCTTAACAGTTGTTTCTCACTGTGAATCTGCATTTTGGTTTGTCTCAGAGCCTTGATTTGATTATGTAGACAGGGTCACTTTTCTGGACATGATACAGGCGAAAAGTAGGCCCTGGCGTGTGGTGCTTTTTCCAGGGCAATTCCATCATTTTGTGCAGGCAGGCACTTAGTCACCTAATACCTGAGAGTCGCGGCACTTGTAGCTCCGCGAGCAATATACCAAACCTTTGTTAGGTTGTTTGCTGCTAGGTACAGTCTTTTACTGGTATTTTCTGAGGAAACAAGTGGAGAGAAGAGAAAAGTTTTCTCTGGCTCCCTGAGGTCTGACTTCAGGGAATGGAGGGGAGATGGAGCTGTAACGCTCCGGTTCACCCTTCACTGAGCTGCGGGAACATTTGCCCCTGCAGCACCCCAGGGCTCCGCGGTTGCTGGCATCTCGGAATGTTTGAGCGCCACCATGTTCCCCTTGTCTGTCTATCCGCCAGCACCCAGTGCGGAAGCCGCCTGTGCGGTGCGCTGAGTGCAGAGCCACCGTGGGCGTGGGATCCGGGCCGGTAACACCAGCCAAGCACAGGCTGCCGGGCCGAGTGGGCGGAGCGAGACGAGCCGAGCGAGGCCTTGAACAGAGGTCTAGGCGGCTGGCTGGCAGCTTACGAAGTGGCAGGAAGGAACTTGGTAACCCTCCCTCCTGCTCACCGAGCAACAGGTAAGAAAAAGCTGCTGGGCGCCCTTTTCTGCCACAACACGAGCACCTAGTCATGCCAACGACTGAGCGGGGCCCTGAGAAGGCGAGTCCCAGTTGATGCCTAAGGAGATCATAGACGGGAACCCAGTATGTCAGTCCCACTCACAAGGCAACATTTCAGCCACAGACCTTCAACTTCTAGTACCAGCAAGTCTTCACCCTCAGCCTGGCAGCCAGGAGGCAGCCAGGCCTGCCCCTCTTAGTGTAACCGTGCTCCTGGTGTGGCACTGCAGCCCTGATTGTCAGGGGCGTCCAGAAGACCAGGCAGGAAGGGCCCTGACACCTCCAAACCTGGCATACTCCTCCCCAAGGTCTCTATCAGGCCTGTGAGAAATGGTGGCTTGACCCGAGGTGCTCTGCTCGTCTCTCGGTGAACAAGAACCAAGGACACAAGGGAAGCAGGCTGGGGCAGGGGGCAAAGCCCTTTCCCTTTCCCTCTGGCTTATTTGAACACAGCTCTTGTAAGTGTGAACACAGAACCATAGTCTATTCCATCAGGTCTGATATGCACTTATTTTCACATCTCTCAAGTTGGTCCGCATCCTTATTGATGGTATCAGCCTTGTCATTTCATTAACAGCATTTTTTTTTCTTGGTACAAAAATAATGCATCTTATAGGGAATTTGGATTTGTTGAAATATGATAGAATAGTAGCTAGAGAATGTAAGGCTACAATATCAAATATTAAATGGTGCAAGCAAGATTTTTTTTTTTTTTTTTTTTTTTTTTTTTTTTTTTTGAGACAGAGTTTTGCTCTTGTTACCCAGGCTGGAGTGCAATGGCGCAATCTCGGCTCACCGCAACCTCTGCCTCCTGGGTTCAGGCAATTCTCCTGCCTCAGCCTCCTGAGTAGCTCTGATTACAGGCACGCGCCACCATGCCCAGCTACTTTTGTATTTTTAGTAGAGACGGGGTTTCACCATGTTGACCAGGATGGTCTCGATCTCTTGACCTCGTGATCCACCCGCCTCAGCCTCCCAAAGTGCTGGGATTACAGGCTTGAGCCACCGCGCCCGGCCGCAAGATTTCACTTAGGTACAGGTAAGTTCGTGGTGGGGGGAAAAATATATGGGGAGTCAGAAGACATGGGCTCTAGTCCAGGTAGGCCATATGTGCTGTGTGACTGGTGGAAACCACTTATGCTGTCTGGATACCTGACTCATTTGTAAAATGGTGATGAGACTCCCTGCCTTTTCCTTTCTGGGTTATATGGTCAAATAGCCATCAAGGTACTTTTCAGTCACAGGACCACCTTTTTGCCACCCTGATTATAGTGGACAGATTTTAGTAGTCTATCTGCCTTAAGTTTTATAATGAAATTCCAGTCAGTCATATTTCTCAAAATTGGTGAGTCTGAATGTCCTGCGTGCACTTAACATCTATTGAGCTATCTCCAGGGGCCCAGCAAAGCATCATTTCCTTCGTCTCCACTACAGCCCTCTCAGGCAGTAGAGCAGCCCCCCTGGATAGAGAAAAATGAGGCTCAGGAAGGTAAGCCCTTTGCCTCAAGTCACACTACCAGCAACTGACAGGGGGAGCCAGGATTCAAACCAGAGTCCCTCAGACTAGAGAGCCAGCCCTCGAGAACCAGTAAATATACTGGGGAAGGCCCTTCCCATCCCCGGAGATAGACCTTTCCTACCTGGTGAGACCACCTTCACCTCGGTGCTGTGGCTGACTGCCTGGCTCCCCCGGTAGGCGCTGCATGTGTAGGAGCCCTCATCCTTGGCCCGCAAGTTGTAAATCAGCAGTGTGCCATCTGGGGACTGGTGGACACGATGGCCATCAGCTTGCACAGGTAGCCCATTCCTGGAGGAGAGAGGACACTGGGAGAGTCGTCAAGGGCCTTGGGAGGTCTGGGACACAGAGGCAGGAGGTAGTCAAAGGCCATTCCAGAGCTGGCCGTTCCAGAGCCAACCATTCCTCCCCTTGAGGGCAAACAGGTGGAGGAGAGGGAGAAATCAAGAATGACCAAGGTTTCTAGCTTGGGTTACTGGGTGACGCTAGTACCCCTCCAGCCTTGGGAGATCCAAGGCCAGGGTGAATGGTGAGGTTATTTTCTGCCATTTCAAATTTGGGGTTCCTGTGAGATAGCAGGAGGCCTCAGATTTGAAGTCTAGAGCTCGAGTGCAGACCCAGATAAAGTATCAGCATCACAATGACACAGCAAAGTGCCATGTCTGTGAGGTTGTCCAAGTCACACAGTAAGCAACCAAGGACTGAGGACAGGCCCTGAGGCACACCAGAAGACAGTGGCTTCCCACAGCTGAGGGAAGGGAGAATTTCAAGAAGGAACATATGGTCAACAGAACAACATTATAGATCGCGTAAAGACTGCGAGTTGTCCAGCAGAGTGAGGGAGAGAGGCAATGGCCTTGGCCAGGATGGGCCTAATGTATGGCCCCACTGCAGGGCCTGAGAAGTGACTAGGGAGGTGAACAGGCAGAGGCAACCCACATGGACAGCTGTGAAGGGGATGCCATGTCCACACAGGGTCTGCAGGGACATACTAACTCACAGGAAGGTGGTTCTGAAGAGGGGAGCACGTTTGCTGCTGAAAGGATCCAGCAGAGGCCAATGTGGAGAAGCAGGCCTGACAGGCTGATCAAGGGAGGGCTGGCCTGAGCACACCAGCGGGGAAACCGCCAGCAGCGCCCCATGCCTTCCTGGGCTCAAGGCCACACAAGACTCAGATGCCCTCCACAACTCCATCACCCCTCCCCACCAGTGCTCAGGCCAGTTTCCATCCTGGCATCCTCTCAAATGCCCACCTTTGGCACTTGCTGCTTCCTCTACCCTTTGCCATCCTCAGCTATTAAGGTACAGCCAAAGCCATTTCCTGGCCCACCCTCCCTTGACTCTCCCAGACCTGAAGCAGACTCACTCTTCTGTGCACAGACAGCACTTGGAGGAAAACACATCTGGAGCTCCTGGAACACTGGGCCATCTGCCCAGGAGTACCCTCCCCAGGATCCCCAGAACCTAGCCTAGACCTGACACATTACAGGGATGAAGGGAGAGGACAAGAAAGTCTACTGAAAGGACAAATAAAAAACACTGATCTAGGGTAAAAGACCAATGAAGTCCCCAAAGCTGAGTAGTTCACACCCCCAGGAGATACTTTGCCACCAGGGGACATTTGGGAGTGGGTCTGGAGATATTCTTTATTGTCATGACTTTGGGGAGGGTGCTACTGGCATCTAGTGGGTAGATGCCCTGGATACCGCTCAACATCCTGCAAAGCACAGGCCAGTCCTTAGGAACCAAAACTTACCAGCTCTATGAGTGGTGCTGAAGTTAGGAAACTCTAGCATAACCCAACCAGCAGAGAGCCAGTGGTCCTACAGGGACCTGCAGCCCTCTCCCCTGTCACCAGACCTGGAAGCAAGAATGGAAGGACAGTGGGGGCAGTGGCAACAGTGACATCCCTGGCAGAAAGGTGGACACCCACACCTGAGGTTGTGAAGGTCTGGGGGTAGGGGACGCTTGGAATAGAGCCTTTACCTGGACCACCTGATGTTCACACTTTCTCCTGCTACCACACACAACAGCCTGGCAGTGTCACCTTCAGGCACTGTCACAGTAGGGGGCATTCCTGAGATTGTCAGCTCCCCTGGGCACAAGGACAAGACATTGTTAGCCACTCTGAAGATCCTGCCCTACCCATGCCACCTGACCTCAAAGGCCCCTCAGGACTGCCACTTTACCCAGAACTCTGAGCTGGACCCATCGCTGGTCTCGGTCCTGCCCGTTGAAAGCGACACAGGTATAAAAGCCGCTGTCTTCTACAGCCACGTGGCTGATGGACAGGGAGCCATCAGGCTGCAGCTGGTGTCTGGGGACCAAGTACAGCCAGTTGGCTCCAGCCCAAGGGGCAGCCTCCCTTCTCCTCCAGCTCTGTCCCTCGAGCATAGAGGCAGGGAAGGAACACAAGGTCTTCCAGGTCCCTGGTGAGAGGCAAAGCATCCCCTATTGTTCACTGGGATCTGACAGAAGGACCATTTGGCCTCAGACTTTACACCTGCAGCTGCTGGTACTTTCATTTGAAAATGTCTTTTTATTTTTTCGACAGTCTTGCTCTGTCACTCAGGCTGGAGTGCAGTGGCGTGATCTCAGCTCACTGCAACCTTTTTGTCCTGGGTTCAAGCGATTCTCCTGTCTCAGCCTCCCGACTAGCTGAGATTACAGGTGCGTGCCACCACGGCTGGCTAATTTTTGTATTTTTAGTAGAGACAGGGTTTCAGCATCTTGGCCAGGCTGGTCTTGAACTCCTGACCTCGTGATCTACCCACCTCGGCCTCTCAAAGTGCTAGGATTACAGGTATGAGCCACTGCACCCGGCCAAAACTGTCTGGCTTTAAAGCTTAAAATATAAATCATTTCAAGCTTCGTGATACAAAATTTTAGTTTGGGTTTCTAGTTTTTGCTATACTCATTTACTGGGCTCAAATACTGGTTCTGCTGCTCATAAGCTGCATGTTGTTAAGCTTCTGTGTGTAAAGGGAAAAACATCACCTACTCAATACGGCTTTTTGGCAGGTCACGTGATACAGAATAAGCCTCACACTCAGTGCCCACTCAGTAAAGGGTAGCGATGATGATTACAGCTGGAAATGTGTTCTGACTCCATTTCCTCCTCCAGCTGTCACCTCTGTTAGCTGGCCTCTTATTTCTGTCCACTAACCCCATTCTGGAAAGGCCCAGAGACTCAAATGTTAGCCAACCCACGGAGCCCTTTGCCCAACTGCTCCATCTCTCGAGAGGCCCTGGAGTCCGGCTCAGGACTGGCCATGGCGATGCCCAAGCACTCCCTTCCCTGGTGGCCTCCACAGGATAAGGTGGGGCTGGAGGCAGAATAGGAGGAAGAAGAGAGGAGTCAAATAAACCTGGGAGAAGTGACAGGGTGCCCATCTCTCTGCCACTCAATGGCTGGGGGTGGGAAGCCTTCGGCGCGGCAGGTCAGCCGGATCTGCTGGCCTGGACTCGTGTCCACCACCTGGGGCTGGTTCTGGTCCAAACGCAGCCTGCCAAACAAGCAGGCCACAGCATGAGGGGCCCTTGCTCCTGTCCCACCCCCTGACTCCCATGGGGACCTCTACCCAAGCCTGGTGGCCCCTTCTCCCTTTCCAGCCAGTTTCGGCTTCCTAAAAATCCTCTCCCACCTTGTTCTGTATAGGAAACTGTCAATAATTACCTGGGGTGAAGGCTAAAGGTGCCCCCACCCCCGCTGCCCCCACCACTCCCTACCTATCCACCATGGCAAAACACACCCACCAGCCAAGATCCCCATCTGTCACCCCCACCCTCCACATTTGCCACTAGGTCTTTGACTTAGGCACCCCTTCTGCAAACTGAACCATTCCTCAAGGCCAGCTCAAGACACTCCCCAAAAAAGCCAGCTCAGGACCTCTAGTTCTGTGCGTCCTTCCCTTCCTCAGTTCCTGAGTCCTGAGCCTATGGAACTGCACTGTTCCCAGAAGCTTCCTCAAGAGGCCCAGCTGTTTTTCTAGGCCTGGCCTCCCAGAACCCTGAGCAGGGGCCAGCAAAGCCTGGCACAGCACATACTTTCCCCTCCTCCCCCACCGAGACCATCAGCCCTGGCCCTGGGGTCGAGGAAGGCAAGATGGCATTGCTGAACTCTTACCAGTGTGCAGGCTGTGGGTGTGAGGAGGGGATGACCCCCAGGACCCCAGCAGCGCCACCTTGGCTGAAGTCCTGAGGTGGATTCCTGGGCTGAGAGAAGCGGCTCAACTCAGCCTCAGACAGCACGGCCATGTCACCCCCTGTCATGAGGCCAGGAGAAACCAGGTGTGAGCTGTGGGGAAAAGGGAGGGGAAGGAAGGGTGGGCCATAAGACCAGCAGGGACTATGGAGAAATGAAGGCCACAGGTTGGTCCCTGCCACAAGGAGTAATTCACCCAGAGAGACACCCTGGGCCCCTTTAGTGCGTGACAGCCCTGGCTCAGGCACCCCATCCTGGCCTTCCCTCTCTGGGGCTACTGAGAATGCACTGGTGGATGGGGTGGGGGCAGAGACCTATGATGTGAAGCTGGATCTTCTTCGAGTTGTGACCTGGCCGGGTGCTGCCACAGCTGTAGGTGCCCGAGTCCTCTGCCTGCAGGGGGTGGATGATCAGGGAGCCGTCAGGTTGCAGCCTGTGCCTGGGAGGAGTAGGGGGACACATGAGCTCTGCGCCCAGGTCTTCCCTCAGCCTCTGTGCTCCTGCCAGAGGAGGCCAGAGCCCACAGAGCACCCTTCCAACCCAGGTGAGGCTGGGGTACTACTTCAGGGGAGGCTGTCACTCACACCTGTCAGAGCCTGAGGTGGAGGAGCTGTCACACCTGTCAGAGGAGGTGAGGGCGGGGTCATTCACACCTGTCAGGGAGGTGGGGGGAGGTCACACACCTGTCAGGGGAGGTGGGGGGCAGTCACACACCTGTCAGGGGAGGTGGGGTGGCTGTCGCACACCTATCGGGGGAGGTAGGGGATGCTGTCACACATCTGTCATTGGAGGTGGGGAGTGCTGTCACACACGTGTCGGGAGGTGGGGAGGCTGTCACACACCTGTCGGGGAGGTGCAGGGGGGGGCTGTGGCACACCTGTCAGGGGAGGTGCGGGGGTGGCAGTGACACACCTGTCGGGAGGTGCACGGGGGGCTGTGACACACCTGTTGGGAGGCGGGGGGCTGTGACACACCTGTCAGGGGAGGCAGGGGGGCTGTGACACACCTGTCGGGGAGGCAGGGGGGTGCTGTGACACACCTGTCAGGGGAGGCAGGGGGGCTGTGACACACCTGTCGGGGAGGCGGGGGGGTGCTGTGACACACCTGTCAGGGGAGGCGGGGGGGCTGTGACACACCTGTCGGGGAGGCGGGGGGGTGCTGTGACACACCTGTCAGGGGAGGCGGGGGGGCTGTGACACACCTGTCGGGGAGGCGGGGGTGCTGTGACACACCTGTCAGGGGAGGCGGGGGGGCTGTGACACACCTGTCAGGGGAGGTGGGGGGGCTGTGACACACCTGTCAGGGAGGCGGGGGGGTGCTGTGACACACCTGTCAGGGGAGGCAGGGGGGCTGTGACACACCTGTCGGGGAGGCGGGGGGGTGCTGTGACACACCTGTCAGGGGAGGCGGGGGGGCTGTGACACACCTGACAGGGGAGGTGGGGGGGCTGTGACACACCTGTCAGGGGAGGCGGGGGGGGCTGTGACACACCTGACAGGGGAGGTGGGGGGGTGCTGTGACACACCTGTCGGGGAGGCGGGGGGGTGCTGTGACACACCTGTCAGGGGAGGCGGGGGGGCTGTGACACACCTGACAGGGGAGGTGGGGGGGCTGTGACACACCTGTCAGGGGAGGCGGGGGGGCTGTGACACACCTGTCAGGGGAGGCGGGGGGGCTGTGACACACCTGTCAGGGGAGGTGGGGGGGTTGTGACACACCTGTCAGGGGAGGGGGGTGGGTGCTGTGACGCACCTGTCAGGAGAGGTGGGGGGGGCTGTGACACACCTGTCAGAGGAGGTGGGGGGGGCTGTGACACACCTGTCAGAGGAGGTGGGGGGGCTGTGACACACCTGTCAGGGGAGGTGGGGGGGCTGTGACACACCTGTTGGAGAGATGGGGAGGCTGTCACCCACCTGTCAGAGGAGATGGGCTGGCCCTCTTTCTGCCAGGCAGCCTGGAATTCTGGGGCAGTGTTGTCTGGGCAGGAGAGCCGCACCAACTGTCCCAGAGCCGCCTGCACCAAGGAGGGCTCTCTACCCGCCAAGCTAATCCTGGAGAGGTGGAGAGTGGGAGTTGCTGACTGGCTGAGCGCCAGGCCCATAACCATCCTAAGCAGTGTGTTCCAGGACAGACAGGGTGGGTCACAGGTACTTTCAGGGGCTAGAGGGTCCCTATGGGAGGCAGAACCCCAGAAGCCCATGAATTCAGGATCCACCCTCCCCAACCTACCCGACTCCCCTGCATCACTGCCTCAGCCTGTTCTACAGCGGCAACAAGGCAGGTACAAAGCCCAGGGGACAGGGAGAGGTAGGGAGGGACGGCACACACCAGGTTCCCATAGGGGCTAAACTACACACTCGGCCCATGTGGAACATAATGTTTTTAATCTTCCCAAATCCCTCATTAATGTGACCCATTCCCAAAACTAATCTTGAACAGAACCCACACCTGTGAAATATACAGGGCAGGAGATAATGTTGCCATTTTACAGGTCAAGAAACTGAGGCTTAGAGAAGTTGGGTGATTTACCAATGGCCATGAAGCCAGTAATCTTTTCCAGCCAGACAGACCATGGAGTATAGAGGTGAGATCTGGTGGAGAATCCCGAGCCACCATCTGCACAGATGTCTATTAGACATCAGAGAAGACTCAAAGTCTCTGAAGCCTCAGCTACTCCGTCTGTAGAATGACGGCAATAAGGCCCACCAGGAAGGGATCTTGGGAGACACAGAAGTTACGGATGGGAAGGGAGGGCTGGCTGGCTTCAGGGCTTTAGCTCCAACTGGCTCGCTCCTGGCCTCGGCGTCCTGACCCCCCTGCCTGGGGAAGGTGGGGCTCACCTGTAGGAGGAGCTATGGAAGTGTGGCACTGGCCATCCGGCATCTCCGCCCAGTCCAGGGACTCTGGTCTCAAGCTCCTGCTCCCGAGGCCATTCTCCAAAGGCCTGCCTGGGGGGGACCTCCCCTGGCCCAGGCTTTTGGTCTTGCCGCCAGAGACCACCAGAAGGCCAGGGCTTTCTCTGCACTGCAGTCCCTGTCCTGTGCTGGCTGGGTTCCTGCTGGCCTGCAGGACTGCCACTGCTACCGCCACCATCTGTGTGGGTGCTCTGGCCAGAGGCCCCAGGCTGGGGATGACGGGGCCCGTGGAGAGGCTGGCAGCTGCTCATACAGTCTTGCTCCGAGGCAAAGTTATTGGCATTGCCATGACAGCCGCCATACCAGAAGCGGTTACATCGGCCCACAGAGGCGACGAAGTACCAGCGGGCAGCCCAGTCGGCACAAGAGCCGTGGGCGCTGGGCAGCAGGCACCGCACGGGATAGGCTGTGGGGCACGGGTGCGTATATGTCACTGAGGTGCCCAGTACTCAGGCTGCACCTCCATCTGCTCAGCCTCCAACTCGGGAAGCAGGCTCTTCCCCATTTATAAAGCACATCTACACCCCTGCCTGGATGCCTGACTTTGTCCTGGGATGCAGGCCAATTCCGCCAGAGCCTGTCCACTGTGTAGACCTGCCCCAGGCTGGTGCCACAGCAACCTTCGCCCGCATAGCTAGAGCCACTGGGAGGTCAGGGCCAGGGCTCTCTGGGCTGGCTCCCTTGGACACTTGGCCTTCTCTGCCACCAGACCGCACGCAAAGTGAGCCCAGAGGTGGCCCTGCCTGCTTAGCTTGTGAGAGGGACACAGGCCTGAGCCACCCAGGGGCTGTGGAGATGCCCAGCAAGGGCCTGCCCTTGTCCCCAAGACACTGCACTGACTGGCCTCTGAGCCCACCTCCAGCACCCAGCCTGCCATTCCAACAGCCCTTGCCAGCATGGCCTGATGCATCTCGCCACGGTTTAGACATGACCATGGGTGCCCTTGCAGGTGCCCAGCCTCCAGCCTCCTGCCAGCCCTGGCCACAGCCCTGGTCTGGCTTTTGAGGACCCCGTGATGGTTCCCAACAGCTCTACTCATTCATCCGGGGCTGCAGCCTCAAAGTCCTCCCTGCCTCCACCCTCCCTCCAAAACTCAACTCCTGCTACACCCACATCCCAGGCAGGGTCAGGGTACCCCTGCCCATCCCAGCACTAACTGCCCTGCACCGGCTCCGCCTCAGAAGGGGCTGACTCCCAAGCACGAGACTAGCCTCCTAGTCCCTTGAGATCCCCGCCACCCACCCTCCCCAGTTCCCAGAAGCAGCCAGAAGACCACAGGTACAAACTGCTAGATGCAAGAACACTTTGGCACTGCCCTCTGGCCTGGCACCTAGCAGGTGCTCAATAAATGTTTGTGGAAGGAATGACTGACTGACTGAGCTGGTAGGAAGGTCTTCAGCTCTGGCTAGGGGCTGGGGGAATGGTGGGAGCAGAGTTTACCATCGGGAAGGAGGAGGGGGCGTCCACTCACCATGACTAGGCTGGCCCACACAGCCTTCCCCAAGAGGACCAGCTGCAGAGGCCACGTTGTCATAGCAACAGCCAAACTGGGAGCCCCGGCACTCAGTGGGCTCATTCTGCTGGGCCTGGGGCCGGTGGGTGTGGTGGACCTGGGGAGGAAGCCCATGATTTGGAAGTTGGCACTGGGTCTGGCCATTGTTGGGGACCCTGGGCTGCCACGGGGAGGATGGCAGGGAGGAGGAGGGACCAGAACCCCAGCCCAGGGGAGACTGGAGGCCAGGAGAATGTGGGATGAACCCCCCGCTCCAGCCCAGGTCCATCTTTGGAACCCAGTGCCCCTCAAAGGATGCCCCAGGCCGGCAGGTTTGCAGGGATCTCCTTTCTCCAAGGCCAAAGTGGCAAAGATCCTGGGTCACATTGACACTGAGCAGCCTCCTGCTTCCCTCACACAGGCCAGACACTTACTGTAGAAGCCACTGCCCTTGACCTGGGCCTGTTCCCAGCGCTGTCTCCACCATATGACCTTGTGCAGCCAGCATGATGGGGCCCCTCAGCAACAGATACGCCATCAGGGCAGCACCCGTACCTAGGCGGACATCACACAGCCCCTCACTGCCCCGCCCACCCCCATGCTCCCTGCATCCCAGGACCCGGGCTCTGAGGCTCCCCAAGATGGGGTCTGACTGGGGGAAACGGACGTGGGAGAGCATATGTCCCAGCAGGCAGGGTAGGCCATTTTGTGTGCTGCAATCACTGCCGACATCCACCAACTCTTAGCAGCTACCAGGGAGGGCAAACGTAACACAAGCAGTGGCTGCGCTCCTCATAACTGGCAGAGCCTCAACTGCACAGCCCACAAAACCAAGAAGGGGGATGTTCATCCAAGCCTGAACAAATGTCAGTTCACAGCAGGGGTTACAAAACAGAAGCAGATGGGAGACGGGGCGGAAGAGGGGGTGCAAAGGAACCCACCATTTACTCCACACCCACCTACCAGGTGCCAGGAGGCAAGGTGAAAGGAGGGAGGGTGTCCAGCACCCTCTCTGTGCCAGGCACGCTGTGATGTGCTTCACCCTCACAGGAACCCCATCATCATCATCATTATTCCCAGTTCTCAGAAGAGGAAGCCAAGATCAGAGGTTAAGTCACATGGCCCAAGTCACCATCACATGGCCGCTGAGTGGCTGAGCTGGGAACTGCCCCCAGGCTACTGGCAATAAAGTCTGGGCACATAAGCGCCCAGTCTCTGAGAGAGATAGTACACTGGGGATTCATCCAGGGCAGGCCACGGAAGAAGGAGGGACAGAGTGAGGGCACCTGGTGGGAGCAGAATGACTTGGACCTAATCCACAGGCGGGAGTGGCCAGGGCTGTTAGGAAGATTGTGGGGAGCTGGTTGGCCTGGCCAGCCTTTACTCTGGGTTCCCTGAGCCTGGTTAGATCTGAGAGCTAGAATCACACCCAACACCTTCCCCGAGTCTCAGGCTGTGTATCCACAGGCTGACACTCTGTGGCGAGGCAGGCATTTGTGTCCCCACTCAGCACGTCAGGAAGCTCAGCTACAGAAAGCCAAGTCCCCAAGATCTCATGCTCCGGGCAGCCCGGGGAGGAAAGCGTGGGTGTGCACCCACCCCAGCCCCAGCCCACTTCTGAGCAGAGATGTTGGCCCACCCACGGGGCCCCTACTTTCCTCTTTGACGGGGGAGGAAGAAGACCTGTCTCCAGCACCCACCTGCTCTGCTGACAGGCGGCTGCAGGGCAGCCTTGCCACTGTGGCCCGAGAGACACTGTGTGGCCATCGGGGCAGCAGCCATGAGGACTGTGTCTGCAGTCATGGGGCCCTGAGGCAGACTGCAGGGGTTGCTGGTATGAGGACTGCTGCAGAGAGGGAGCGGGGCCCAGGGCTGACAGGTGGGTACCCTGGTCACCTCTGGGGTCACCCCGGGCTGAGGGGTGTTCTTGGGCTGTCCACCACTGGCCTCTGGAGTCTAGAAAGAAGAGGAAGCAAAGACACACTGCATCCACTGGCTCCTCCCCTCCAGCCCTGTCCATCTTGGACCCACCTTCCTCCATCCCCTGGACCCTTCTCCCCTCTGCCATGGCTGCACCCAACCGTGACCTCCACCCCTATGCATCATCCACTCAGACACAAAGACTACAGGGCTCTGAGTGGTGGCTGAGAACAAGCTCTTACCTGAGGCAGGGGACTCCCGACGGCCCAAAGGCATCTGGGGGCTGCTGGTGGGGTTGTGCACATCCTGCATGCTGGGGTCCTCTGCACGGAGCCGGGAGGTCCACATGAGGTACAGAGGGAGGAGGAGAGGATGTGTCTGAGCTGTGACCAGCCCTGCCCAGCGCTGGCTTCTACCCCACCACCCAGGCAGGGCCCGGGAACCCGAGAAAACACAAGGGAGAAAGAGCACCACTCGGGATTTCAAAAAATGCCCTGCCGCTCTTCAGAAGTCTCCAGTTACATAGAAAATGCTCATCCTTTTTGAGACATCTCTGTCACCCAGGCTGAAATGCAGTAGTGTGATCACAGCTCACTAAAGCCTCAACCTCTTGGGCTCAAGTGATCCTTCTGCCTCAGCCCCCTGAGTAGCTAGGACAACTCTTTTTTTGTAGAGACAGGGTCTTTCTATATTGCCCAGGCTTGTCTCAAACTCCCAGGCTCAAGTGATCCTCCCATCTCAGCCTACCAAAATGCTGGGATTACAGGTGTGAACCACTGCACCTGGCCAAAAATGCTGATCTTACATGTTCAGCAAAAAGTACCAGATATAAAATGTGCATGTGTCATGATTATAGCCATATAAAACAAAACTAAACATACTTTTTTAAAAAAATTGGATTGATGAAAGGCAAACAATCCAATTTAAAAGTGGGCATTTCTCCAAAGAAGATATAAAAAATGGTCAACAAACACGTGAAATGAGGCTCCACCTCATGAGTCAGCAGGGAAACGCAAATCAAAACCACGCTGAGGTACTGCTTCCCACCCACTAGGATGTGTATAATCAGAGAGATTGAAATAGGACACTAAATACCACCAGCCTGTACACTTTAAAAGGTTAACTGAATGTTACGTAAATTTCACCTCCATAAAAAATTCCATATTTTTAAAAATTGGATTAATAGATGAAGGGGCCAGGCGAGGTGGCTCACACCTGTAATCTTAGCACTTTGGGAGGCCAAGGTGATGGATCACGAGGTCAGGAGATCAAGACCACCCTGGCCAACATGGTGAAACTTCGTCTCTACTAAAATACAAAAAATTAGCCAGGCATGATGGCGCACGCCTATAGTCCCAGCTACTTGGGAGGCTGAGGCAGGAGAATCGCTTGAACCGTGGAGGTGGAGGTTGCAGTGAGTTGAGATCACACCACTGCCCTCCAGCCTGGTGACAGACTGAAATTGTCTCAAATTAAAAAAATAAAAATAAAAATAGATGAAGGAATAGAATAGATAATGGGCCAGGCACAGGCTCACACCTGTAATCGCAGCACTTTGGGGAGGCCGAGGTGAGCAGATGACTTGAGGTCAGAAGTTCAAGACCAGCCTGGGCACCATAGTAAAACCCCATCTCTACTAAAAATACAAAAATTAGCCAGGCGCAGTAGCACACGCCTGTAATCCTAGCTACTTGGGAGGCTGAGGCAGGAGAATCGCTTGATCCTGGGAGGCAGAGGTTGCAGCGAACCAAGATCGCACAACTGCACTCCAGCCTGGGTGACAGAGTGAGACTAGGTCTTGAAGAAAAAAGAAGAAAGAAGAAAAAGGAAGGAAGGAGAAGAAAGAGAAGAAGAAGGAGGAGAAGGAGAAGAAGAAAGAGACTAGATAATAAAAACACAAATTTAACAAAATATTAGTTGTGTAATTGAGACGGTGAGTACATGGCTGTTCACTATGCATTTCTTTCAACTTTTTGGCATGTTTAAAGTTTTTATCGTATCGTCCAACTGGTACATTTACAAAAAATCATTGGGCCATTAGAATAGGTGGTTTTTATGGTATATAGATTTAAGCAACCTCCCTAAAATTTGTAAAAAGATTTTTCATCACAAAATATTGTTGGAAAATGCAAATGGATGAGTAGATAAGGACAATAAGAATTTTTTTGGCCGGGCGTGGTGGCTCCCACCTGAAATCCCAGCCCTTTGGGAGGCTGAGGTGAGTGGATTGCTGGACGTCAGAAGTTTAAGAACAGCCTGGACAATATGGAGAAACCCCATCTCTACTAAAAATACAAATATTAGCCGGGTGTGGTGGCAAGCATCTGTAATCCCAGCTACTCCAGAGGCTGAGGCAGGAGAATCGCTCAAACCTGAGAGGCGGAGGTTGCAGTGAGCCGAGATTACGCCACTGCACTCCAGCCTGGGTAACAGAGCGAGACTGTCTCAAGCTTGTAGGACATACCCCAAAATAATGCACATAGTGAAACCTGCTCAGAGCTTCAGAGGCAGGGTGTCCTTCCCTTCTATTTGTGTTTTTCAAATTTTCCAAAGTAAGCATATTACTATATAATGGAATAAAATTATAAAGAATAAAATAAGTGGGCCAGGCATCGTGGCTCACACCTGTAATCCCAGCACTTTGAGAGGCTAAGGTGAGAGGATCACCTGAGCCCAGGAGATCAAGACCAGCCTGGGCAACATAACAAGAGCCCATCTCAACAAAAAATCAAAAAATTAGCTGGGCGTGGTAGCCTGTGTCTGTGGTCTCAGCTACATAGGAGGCTGGTGTGGGAGGATCCCTTGAGCTCAGAAGGTGGAGGCTGCAGTGAGCTTTAATTGTACCATTGCACTGCAGCCTAGGCAACAGAGACCCTGTCTTAAATAAATAAATAGATTATTTCATTCCCACATGGACTACATCTTGCCAATCCCCAGAAATATTTATTTATTTATTTTTTATCTTTTTATTTAGTTATCTTTTTGAGATAGAATCTTGCTCTGTTGCCCAGGCTGGAGTGCAGTGGCATGATCTCAGCTCACTGCAACCTACACCTCCTAGGTTCAAGCAATTCTCAAGCCTCAGCCTGCTGAGTAGCTGGGATTACAGGCACGTGCCACCATACCTGGCTGATTTTTGTATTTTTAGTAGAGACGGGGCTTCACCATGTTGGTCAGGTTGGTCCTGAACTCCTGAGCTCAAGCGGTCTGCCTGCCTCGGCCTCCCAAAGTGGTGGGATTACAGGCATCAGCAGCTGCACCCAGCCCCCAGGAATATTTAAAACAATGATAATTTGGGGTTGGAAGATTTCAATAGATAGTGGTAAAATCTGTTTTATTTCCTTTTTTTTTTTTGAGACGGAGTTTCGCTCTTGTTACCCAGGCTGGAGTGCAATGGCACGATCTCGGCTCACCGCAACCTCCGCCTCCTGGGTTCAAGCAATTCTCCTGCCTCAGCCTCCCGTTTTTTTTCTTTTTTTTTTAACTGAGTTTCCCTCTTGTTACCCAGGCTGGAGTGCAATGGCACGATCTTGGCTCACTGCAACCTCCACCTCCCAGGTTCAAGCAGTTCTCCTGCCTCAGCCTCCTGAGAAGCTGGGATTACAGGTGCTCGCCACCACACCCAGGTAATTTTTGCATTTTAAGTAGAGACGGGGTTTCACCATGTTGGTTAGGCTGGTCTCAAACTCCTGACCTCATGATCCACCCACCTCAGCTTCCCAAAGTGCTGGGATTACAAGTGTGAGCCACTGTGCCCAGTCTTATCACTTCAATTTTAAGGCATCTCTGCCAAGCCCATCTTCTCTTCCATTTCTTCAGGCTTAACTCAGGGTCCGGGGTCTCTCCTTGCCCACCCCCTGGTTCCCAGGCCCCTTCATTCCCACCACCCCTCTAGCCCTTGGATTCCTGCAGTCTGCTCCCATAGATTCCTGTCTCCACTTCCGTCTGACCCTCAGGCATGGCCAAATTTATCCTCCTAAATAACTCTCATGGTGTTACTCTCTAGCTCCATAACTTTTAATGGCTCCCCTGGGCCTATTAGATAAACACAGTCTAAAGCCTGAGGCCTAAAGCCCTCCAGTAGCCACCCTAGCCCTAAGAGTGTCACCCGTGAACAGAACTCCCATCTCCACCCCTACACCCTGGGCTAAGGGCTGGTTCTGGGAGCCCCTACTGGTCTCAGAGCTACTGAATATGGTTATAGCAACTGAAGAGAATAACTTGGATATGCCGACCTCCTTTTTCAAATGCAAATTTTATGAAATCTAAACACAGATCAAGTATTCTGGTGAAAATTTAGCATCTGAAATGAGATGTGCTGCAAGTATAAACTACACATGGGGCGTCAAAGATTTAGCTTTAAAAAAATCTTACAAGCCCGAGGTGATGGCTCACACCTGTAATCCCAGCCCTTTGGGAGCTAAGGCAGGCAAACCTGAGGTCAGGAGTTCGAGACCAGCCTGACCAACATGGCAAAACCCTATCTCTAGTAAAAATACAAAATTAGCCGGACATGGTGGTGCATGCCTCTAATTCCAGCTACTCTGGAGGCTAAGGCAGGAGAATCACTTGAACACAGGAGGCAGAGGTTGCGGTGAGCTGAGATCATGCCACTGCACTCTAGCCTGGGCAACAAGAATGAAACTCCATCTCAAAAAAAAAATCTTGTAAAAGAGAATGTACAATATCTCATAATTTTATACTGATTACATATTGAAAATATTTATATGAGTTAAATAAAATATATTTTAAAATACAAATTCACCTGTTTCCTTTTATTTTTGCTTTTGAGGTAGTATCTCACTATGTTGCCCAGGCTGGACTCCAACTCCTGGCCTCCCCCCACAGCCTCCCAAGTAGCTGGGATTACAGGCATAAGCCACTATGCTCAGCTATCTTTTTATTTTTTTCTTTTTACATTTTTTATGTGGCTCTAAAAAGATTTGAAATAAAGCCAGGCACACTAGCACACACCTGTAGCCCCAGATACTGAGAGGCTAGGGCAGGAGGATTGCTTGAGCCTAGGAATTCCAGACCAGCCTGGGCAACAGAGTGAGACCCTGTCTCAAAACAACAACAAATAAACAAAATGAAAAAAATTTTGAAACGACACACATGACCTGCATTCTACTTCTACTGGAGAACACTTCTCTTGGATCAAGAAAGAAGAGGAGGCAGAAAATATACTGGGGTGTCTACTTGGAAGCCGACGCTTTAATGGGCCTCCTCATCAAAACTTTACCCCCTCCCCAGACTACTCCTTTCCTCCCAAGTACATGCCAGTACGTCCTATGGCATTAGTAACAGTACCAAAAACACCAAC